TCAAAATATTTTCTCATGAAAACTATTTGCTAAATAAAAAAACTGCTTATTTTTAAACATTTTTGTATTCACTCTGGTACTGTATTTATAGCAATAAATATGTGTAGTTTTGAACAAGAGTTTCACATAATTTTTAATTCGTTCTGTCTAACAATAAACAGAAATAAAACATATTATTTCAAATCAACAAAACCACCATGACTCATACCTTGGGTGAATATATTAAAATATACTATACTATTACTGTACCCTAATGTATTAACATAGTCTTGTAATTATGGGAGATTTGAAGTGCTACAAATATTAATTTATTAAGGTTGAATTGCCTGTAAATGTAGTTTTTTAAAAGAATAATCAGAAATATTCATATTCTATTCCAGTATCAATCTTATTGAAAGCAGCATACAATAAACAGGTGTGGGCAGGTTGTCTTAATTACACACACACCAAGTATAGGACGTGTTGGTCACAGACTGGTAAAATGACGTAAGTGTCTTTAAAACAGTTGTTTTGTAAATTGAGACACAGACTTCTAAAACAACTAATGGTATCATCTAAATGAAAAAGTTTGATAATAATAAAACAGTTGTTTCATTGAACAACGGAAGTTACACTCTGATCTGAAGTGATGCACCTACATTCGGCGGGTGTGGTTACTTTTTTGACAGCGTTAAACGAAATATTCAATTTAATGATAATACCAACCATTAAATATAATCATGTCTAGATGGAATAAATACGAAATATACTTACCACTACTGGCTTAACCGACCACGGTTACTTCCGGACAATACACTTTCACCTTCACTGATCTTCATTGTTGCGTTAAGAGCTAAGTTCTCGCGAGATTTTGCGAGGCTTGAAGAACACTCAATCAAATTACCGCGCATGCGCAGGTTGCTATGACTGCGAAGTAAATTTTAGAAGGCAAGAGAGGGAGTCCATTTTGCACTTTTCGAAGCATCAAAACATTGCCATTTTCGTTAGAAATTGTGGATTTTCGATAACAAATGCAGTTAATGTAATTAACTAAGTTGCCCAAGATGTCGATGACTCAAACGATTCGGAAAGGGCAGGCGAATCCGTCCCGTACTCATGATTATTTATATGGTAAGTTTGCTGGCACACCATCGACGATCTGTGAGGTTTTATGAATGTTACAGTTGTTACTGACTTTATAGTCCTAATTTTACTAAATTATATAATGTTTGTATGTTTTTTGTATTACACGTGAAATGAGTAATTTGAAATCTGCGTGCAAATATTAAAATACGTAATATTGTTTGTTTATGTACGTGTGCTTAACACTTAATAACAGATTAATGGTTTGCGACTTTTTGAAATAAGACTTATTTTTCATATTTCCAATAAATTGAACAATGTTTTAATTTGTATCTCGTACGCAGATCCTCTGTTTAGCCTATCCAGTGACAGAGACCATGCAAGGGCAACATTTAAAGCCCATACCAGCACGGACAGGGTTGTAAGTATTACTTTTGTTATTTAAATTCATTCAGTTTTATTATTTTTTTACTGACTGTAATTTCACTCTTATTTATGAATATAGCCATGGCTTCGATTATATGTACAGTTTGTACAGTATTGTCTTCTACTTTCAGAAATTAGTACCTACATGAGTTGTATAGGTGACATTTTTCAACTTTGGTATCAACATAAATTGTTAATAATATCTATTTTTTTTCTTCAATACTTTTGCGTTTTCACAGCGAAGGGTACCTGAACACAACACCATGTTCAGTGCTCTACGGCATTTCCCAAGATTCAGTATGAGACTGGATGCAACTGACCCTGTTCCTAAATTCATATCTCGTCAATGGAGAGGATATGGTGATCAAGCCAGAGAAGCTCTTGTTAGATACACCACGTAAGTATCATTGGCTTTACATGTGAGATTTCTAGTCTCTTTCACTGTTTTTATGGAAATATTTGGTTTTTACACTGTCTTTATTTTTATTCAGGTTCAACTATGACCCAAATGTTCAAGTTCCTCAAGAACAATTTTCTGATGCCCAAGTAGCTGGTCAAAATAGGTACAAATATTTCAGACGACCAATTATTCCATTTTTACAACAAGTACCTCCTGAAGTTGTCCTGCAAACCACAAAGTAAGTTGATTTGTCTGTTACAGTTGTTAGTTCTTGATCAATTCCTGATTCTTGTGTCTTGTTTCCATTAACCCTCTTCTCACTGGAATCTCCTTTCCTAGGGTGCAACTCTCATTGAATTTATAATTTTGAATATTTGCTGATAGAAATGTTCTCATCATGTCAGGATTTTCACATGAGCTGAAG